GACGACGACGACGACGACGACGACGACGACGACGACGACGACGAAGAGCTTCCAGGAGAACCACAAGTTCCTCGAGAACAGGTCCTGCAAGAACGAGAACAGTTCCCGCAACAGTGGCAAGCGAGACTGGAGAAATCGGAACAGTCACTCTGGAGACAACCATCTTTAAAGAAGGGTACGACACACTCGACCTCCATTCAAGCAGTGCCTCGGGGCACTCGAGATCAGCCTAGGCGATTGAATGCACCCTCAAAACATGATACACTCTCTCATGTTCCTTTCTTTCCACAGGGACAACAAGGTTAGAACTCCTTTCGGTCTCGAAATCCAATTAGTGTAACTGATATCCTCCGAGAGTTCCTCTCAAGCTATTCTAGAGTGTCGCGGTCACCGTCTACTCCACATGCTTTGAAGGTGTCGGAGGATCTTCTCGGCGAGACCGAGAAATATTTCGATATCTCTTGTCAAAACATGAAATTCGACGCCTATGAAACCCTTCTCCTTCCGTCTGGCGCACCAATGCATAATAACTTATGCGAAAATTTCGACTCATATTGCTTCACTGCTACTCTGCTCCATGGAAAGGGATTGAACTTCGAGTTTGGCCGCGCACTTTCGAAAGCCTGTGATCTTGTTGAAAAATTGGTTCGAGCCGAGCATCCTCGAACTCTGGCCTGCTTTCTCGAAGTGTTCATCCACCTTATACAAACCGGACATCCTGATGTGACTTCATACCTCCGTGGCTTCATCCGAGACATGTCTCTCAAAGTCACCAAGGAAGGGCATCCTTGGGGTCGGATATGTCAGCTCCTCGGCGAACTTGACGAGGAGTCTCTTGGCGAGGCCATGGCCCAAACCTGGAGGTGTATGATTGATACTCTCGATAGGCAACTTGGAGCATCCAATCGGTTCGCGGTGTCTGTTCGTCTCGATTATATAAAGCGGGTGTACGGGCCTACGGATTGTCTTGAAGAACAACGGCTTCTTCAAAATCTCCTTCGTCAGTTCGGAGGCATATCTAAAGTCTCGACCCCGCGGGTGATGCTCAACCTGGCGCATAATCTGAACAGACAGAAACGCTACGACGCCGCGGAGACGACAGCGCAGGAAGTCCTTTCACTCCTCGATAGGGATGAGATCTATGCTCAGAGGATCGTTGAGAGGATAGAATCTCTGAAAATCATTTCTCAGAGTCAATTCGGCCGAGGGAACGCTCCGGCAGCTGAGAAGACTATGCGACAGGCGATAGAGATGATTGCGGGGCGATGGGGAAGGCAACATTCTTGGGTCCCTGAATTCATGGTTGTTCTGGAAGGTTGGCTTCGAGGTTGGGGCCGGGAAGAGGCCGCGAACAAACTGAAGGGAGAAATAGAAGATTTGATGGGAGGCGATAAAATGGTCGAGCTGCTTGATGAGGTGTAAGGCTTGCCTTGTTGAGATGTCACCGCGAGAAGCCAAAATATATACACATATATACTTACAGTTATATACTCTAGTGGAGAGCATTTGGATCAAATATTAAGTGAATGTCAGCCAATGATATTCGCTTTATCAACATTGCTCTTCTCTGTACCTCCTTCGAAGAACACACAAAAGGTTGCTCTCCCGTCACTGAGATTCGCAAACTGGGATAACTGTTCAAATCGACGACTCTGTGAGGTTTGGAAAGTCTTCTAGTGCTCAAGCACTATGGAGGCTCTAATAGCTACCCGGCAGTCTCCATATATCTTCTCTTACATCATATAGCTTCAGCTCCGTCTCCAGCCTTCATCTTCTTGACCCTAGGGGTCAACTACGACACCACTTTCCACAAGCACCAGCTCGTCAACTCTATTCGTAGCATATTCGACCCACTTCCACGTCGTTAAGCCTCCGGTGTTCGTATGGAGTTCCCAAACCCGTATTCGTCGGTGACATCCCGTTCCGTCATACGAACCGTATCCCCCGAATCCGCTGCCACCTCCATAACAGAGCCACGGGCCAGGCTGCGCCGGCTTTTCATTATCCTGCCGCGGTGGTTGGGGCAGCCGGGCGCAATAGTCGTTCACGTGATCATGCCCGCAGCCTACTGCTGATATGCCTCCTCTGACTAAGGCGTCGTAGAGACGGGAATTGTAACTCGGACACTCAGGCGGCTCCCTTTGGTGGCCGTTGCGGATCTTAAGACGGGGGTCTTTAAACTCGGGAAGAGGGATGTGTAGGAAAGCTAGAGATATGTGAAAGCGGCTGTCGTTACCATTCTCCTCACGCGCCCTTCGTTGCTCCAGGGCTGTCTTCGTGAACCACTCGATTTGGCTTTCCTTGATCGCGTGATAGTCTGGATCTCGTGTCTTACTCTGTTTTTGACCGTGTGAATCGAAGAAATATAAAGTCGATAATGGGAGCTGTGACGGGGCGGGAGCCAGGACTTGAAGATAGAAGTTGCCTATGCCATCGACCTGTTCCGGGCCTGACTCGCACAGGCTACCTGGCAGACTCTGAAGTATTGACATCTGTTCCTTACCTTTAATCTAGTCAGCAAGGATGGACGGCTGCTTTTCCCAAGACCCAGCTTACTGGGGTTGCATAACCCTCTCGCGGAGGAAGTAGTCTACCCTTTTGGTGGGAATGTGCCAACTCCAAGTGAGTTGTAGATCGCTAGCTCTGTGAATTGGCAACCTTGCGGAAAGAAAGGGACTTACGTGACAATGCATGGTCGCCCTCACTGTCATGATTGCCGAAGACCGCTGCGAATGGAATCGAACGATCGATAATAGGAGCAAGCACCTTGAAGAGAGCAGACTGGCTGTCGGAGATATCGTGGTGCAACTGATCTCCAGTGAGAACAACAAGGTCTGGTCTCTCGGCATCCAAGATCTTTCCGATAAAGTCTACGGTCAGTGGATCAGCCTCGCTTTCTGGCAGGTTCTTCCCACGGGCATCGATAGCATCTTTACACACTCCGACGCCAGTGACCATGTGTGTGTCGGAGATCTGGACAATCTTGAATGTGCCGTCCTTCCTGACCCTCAATGCCGTCTGAGCATCTGGCGGCGGCGGCTCGACCCTACCACGGAGTATGCTCAACCTTGCAACTGGTGCCTCTGGCTGAGCGTGAAGTTGAAGCGATGATTGCATGAGAGCCCATCGTGGTCGTGGGTCAACAGCATCTATACCAAAGAGAATGTCCACCGCTGTCACAGCCCGGTCTTTCTGGCCAGGGTATTTGCTTCTCAACAACCAGATTCCGCAAGGTCGACCCTCCCAAGAACGACCTGGCTGACAGTTGGAAGGCGACTCGCCGACCGCGATGTCCACAATCACCAGTAGATCCTGAGCCGCAATCTCTTCCTCATCCGCTAGCTCGACATACAACCAAGCCGTCGTTAGAGATGTATATTGGTAAAGCTCCTTCTCTATACGGCGCCATTTTCGCGGGTCCAGTTCGCAGGAGGAAGGAGGCACGTTCGAAGGAGAGAAGCGTATAGTTAGATCTGTAACAACAGAGTGAACAGTGGACGACGTTGGCGTTTTGGAGCTGAAGTCTTCCGGTAGCTCGAGAGCACGAGGCATGACGGCTAGGAAGTCAACTATCGCCGAGGTGACCCTGGTCAGCGAACTCGAATCGCTTGGGATAGCACAGTGTCGGAAATTGCGCGGTATTGACCACAAATGTTTACTTCACCTGCGCTGGCTCGAGGTCGAAAACTTTTGTCTTAACACGTGACCTAACGGCTTCAAATTTGTGACTGACGGCCCTGCCAAGGCTATGTAATGACGGTCAGGGAAGGTACTCCGAGGGCCTTCGGCCGAAGGCCATCGAACGGCGCTAGTAGGCC